ATGGAGGAAGCTAGATGGTTGTCAATGCAAGGTAGGGCTGAGTCTACTCAAGGGACTGAGGAGAACCCTATGTTGGCAAAACAAGTCTCGGAAGCAGCTAGACCAAAGGCCAATGCCATTCTTGAGGCTGTAGGCAAAGCCATGCCCATCGAGAAGGTATTGGATGGCCTTATGAAACCTCTCTATGGTCGCCTTATCGGTACCGAGCTGGATGATGTCCGAGAGGGAGCATGGTCTAGTCAGCATGCTGGTGGTGTTGGTGGGGCTAGGTTTGCCCGTCGAGTTCGGACCTCTATGTTGCAACTAACTACTGGTATCCTAGCATCTCACTCTCCTATACAGCAATGTCAGCGTATACTCACACGTGCAGTTAGTGTGCTAGAGGATAAGTGTAGCTTCGAGGAGGTAGATCTCTTCTCCGCCAGTGCTGCTATCATAGACCCTGCTACCTCTGGAGAAGGGGCTAGCAATAATACTAGGAAAAGCAGGAAAGAGGAGGCTGTCACTGTCCTACCGGGTGCAGCCACTGGACGGGGTGCCTGGGTAGCTGAGGAATGGAAGAAGGGCAGTGGTGCATCCACACGACGTTATGATAATACTATACGGGGGAGTGCAGCAGCTGAAGTGGGTCTCAAGCTTTTAGAAGGTCTCTTAAAGAAGGGTAGTTCCTCAACAGCTAGCTTGCTGAGTGATGAGGAGACCCTAAGGGGTATACTATCACCAATAGCCTACTTCATAACCGTTAGCAAGGTGGATGATGTCTTTGTACCAGCGGCTAGATCCCTGAGTCGTCTCATATCCAGCATGAAGTACACCTCTGTAAAGGGCGGGCCTCTTGCATCATCATCATCATCATCATCATCTAGCACTAGTGGTAACAACCCTCTACTAGACGTTCTCAGTGCTAAGGAGACGTTGGGCATCGTGAGGAGTGTGTTGAAGATGGTGCAGTTCTATAGTGCTGGTGCCTCCCTCTCTAAGGATCTAACTGTAGTCCAAGCCACACGGCAAC